TTGTGAAGCGGCACATCACCAAGAGAGGAAAAAAAACCAAAAACAAAATTGAAAAAAAAAAAACAACCAAAAAAAACCCAACCCAAAACAAACCCAAACTGTTAACCCTTTCCCCCTTGAGTGCCTCTGCGCTCCCAGGCGTTTCGGTGCAGGAAAGACGTTCTGTTAGTGGCGAGACAGACAGACGAACAACATCTATACAAACTAAGAGACTCGCAAAGTTCTTCACAAAAATAAGAGACATTAGTCTACATTTTACTGGTCAAGAATACCTAACTGGTGATGTCGCCAAAATTATACACTTTTTTGCGTGTTTATTTATTTCTTTAAAAAAAAGAAAGAAACGTAGCAAAGGGATGAGCGGAACAACTTAACGTCAAATGTCCAGCAAGCTAGATTTTACATGCTTATTTAAGAACAGGATGAAAATAACTGCTGTGAACTGATGGACATTACTAAATATGGCAATGATTTAAATAAGATTATAAAAAGAACAATAAAAAATAAATAAACACCAATATATTGGGAAACTGAATTCTACAGCGTGGATGCATGCACAAGAACGCCGTAAAATCTCTTTGATTAATTAACCTGACGCTATTTTCTTTCTTTTCTCCCTCACAAAACTTTAGTAGAAACATTTCTGTTGTTACCTATAAGAGTTGTTTTAAATCACAAATATATTTACACAGAATTTTAATATTTTAACATTTTAGCATTTTAAAGTAAATTAGTTAACCAATCGTGGAATGAACTTTTGCGAAAGTAAACAACTTGTGTTTCGCGCGCTCATATGACCTTAGCAGTTGCGAGCGCCGTAAAACCCCATACTACTACTACTACTAAAACATTTCTGAGAAAGAGTGTGCTTGCAGAACAAGCAACGCTCACTGAAAAGATCACAACAGATGTATTCCATCCACTTCAACAGAAACTTGTTCCTTAAAGGGACCAAAAAAAATAATTAAAAATCTGAAAACCCTTGAGCTAATAAATTTTTTTTGAAATTTTCATAATAAGCGACATTTACAGACAGATCAACAACAAACCCTACTGGGCTGAGAGAGCAATCTAGTGTACTACTACGCGTGCATAAAGTTGTCAGCGAAAGACATCCACACAAGAGTGAGTCCACAAAAGAACACAGACATTGGACGTTAAAAAGCATGAACAGTCAGGTCATGGTTGCGTATATCATGATGGCACACACAGGCAAACACAACACTGACACTACTACTGAAAGCTGGCCTTGCAGGAAACATTGGGACCAGGACAAATGCATAGAGAGAAAAAAGATACAAACATTTATCATCATATGCCATTTCATTTTTACGCGTTTTAGTGATTCCACTGTTAACATTAGCAAAGAAGATTATTAGCACAGGAGAGAAAAAATAGGCAATATATATGCAAACATGCTACTTCTGAAACGAACAAGAAAAGATAAAGAAACCAGAAGAGAGACAAAGAAGATCAAGAAACAAAAATCATTGACTCCTTCTGAATTCTCTTCCTGCTTCTAAAGCAAAATGTCCACAAACCTAATAGTTTCAATAGCAAGCTACGGCAGCTCAAACTGAGAGCGTGTACAGAAACAAAGGGAAAAGCTGTCATGGACACAGAGATATGTTTTCCTAAACCGCTTTCTTTAGTAAATCTTTTGGCGTATTTTTTTACAGCTGTTCACGTTTCAAAAGACAAGCAAAAGGGAGGATCGAGGAGGGAGAGTGCAAAAATCCACAAGTCTCCAGAAAGAGAGTATCAATAGTATCATTTTTCTGTATTACAAGACACTTTTTCCCCACTTATGATGTCACAGTGCCAGAAGGAAGAGAGAAGATACTTTTTCCACACTTAGAAAAGTCTGAAGAAAAAGAACCAAAAAAAGAAAAAGAACCAAATAAAAAAAAAAATAAATAAAAAAAATAAATATAGCACAAATTCTAAATATCAGCAACTTTGCAAATTACATGAGGTTATACTTATGAAATCATTATTGCACATGGGTGGGTAAATATTGGTTTATATGAATAATTCATTAGTACAGTGATTACAAAAACAAACAAAAAAACCCAACAGTTTGCTCCTTCTACTGGTACCAACAACACACGGTTACTGCTACACTAAAACTGTACAACATAACAAGACTTGTACATTGAAAGATACAAATTTTGAACTGTCTGATCCAATTTATATTATGCTACATTTCTATCTGAGTTATATGTTAAAAAGAGGTTTTAAAAAAAATATTTAAAAAAATCTTTACTTCAGTTATTTGAGTTATACTCTGTATATTGAAACCTATTATTTATTATTATTTATTACTTATTAAAAGTCAATTTATTGGTAATATGTAACTGGGTATCTTTGTGCGAAAACTAATATCTGTACGTAGCAGGGAAAAGTGAATTGGACCAGCAATTATTGTTCTTCAAAATCTTGAGACTTTCGTCATAGAGCAGAATCTAAATTGTTCTTTCTCTCTGCTTTTACTTCATTAGTCTCTAAGATGATTTTGCTTTCGAAATATATACCAAATCTAAAATCACAAAACGACTAACATTTGCAACACAACTTGATACATTTCGTTCTAATACAATTTGTTCCTTTGAAGATTGACTTAGATCTTCCTGTTTCTTGATAACAAAAGATACTGGTAAAAACGATCAGGAATGCCAAATTGGTGTCCATCTTACAGCAAGACGGAAAAGTCAAAACGATATATGGGGGGTGATGAAAGAACAATGAAAATAATGACACATTAAGTTCAAGCAGAACTTGTTTTTAGACCCAGTATATCATATAATATATATAATAGGTGATGTTCTAAGAGAAGGAAATACATACGAGGTTCTGCTAAGACAAAAGAAAGGAAGGGAAAAAACAGTCGTTGGAATGAACACACAATCTGTGCCCCGACGCAATGCCACTCACATCATGACGTCCCGTGTGGTGAGTGGAGGGCTGGGTTGGTCATCCTTCTGTCCGCGACGGGGACGTTTCAATAGAAGGTGGTCAATCCCGTGACAAGGGTCTTCTCCATTTTCCCAGAAAACACTCTCCAGGTTTTGACGTTTGCACTGGAGTCTTGAGACGCAATAAATTGACAGCCTGCCAACAACAGCTCTGCAGTAAGCTGACAAAACGCCTTTTTTTCTTCACAGCAGATTCGAGAAAAAAGAGGGGTTTTTTTTTGTTAGCGTACATAACCATTTAAAAATAGAGTGATCCGAAATTTGAATCTAAATTCATTAAAAAAACTAGCCACAGTTTTACTTTGATTTTTTTAGACAAGTAGGGTAACTAACTGAACAAGCTTTCGATGCAGCAAATAAAACATTTTGGCGCCAAAATGAAAAAAAAAGGCGTTTTGTCACCTTACGGCAGAAATGTGGGATACGTGACAGAACGTGCAATAAAATCTCAACCAGAGGTCTTTATAGCGGACTGTTGGACAGTTCTCCTCACACCCAAGACCCACAGTGCCATGGACATTCAAGTTCAAGTGAAACAGAAGTGTGAACACCACAACTTATGCGTTACCACTACACATTGACAAATGGCATTCACTTCATCGGTAAAGGTCAAAATCGTTAATAAAATAATGGAAAAAGTTACTGAGAATGCAGCTGAACTATTTCATAGGCCAAACAAAAAAGTACAAAAGTACACTAAAGATCCTTTGAAATTTCTTACACAAAGATAAAAAATAAATGAAGGTAGATGCTAGCAACAATAAATACTATTTCCAAAAAATATATAAGATTTCAAAGCTAAGAAGAAGTAATATGTGAGGTGTGCTGACAAAATGAGTTACTTCTCGCTGTCCAAGAATGGACATATCGGCCGAAAATCGACACTGTGGACAGATTTATAGATTTCTAATTGATACCATTCTGTTCAAGTCTACCATGTCTTTTATTCTTCCATACTTACAAATTGTACAAACTTCACCTATAAAGTTGATGAATCAATTTCCATGAGGCTAAATCGGAAAAGTAACTCATTTTGTCAGCGCACCTCACATATGTCATATGCAGCAAGAGAGTTGAGAATTTTATAAACGTAAACTATAAGCATGAACAACAAAACTTGCCATGCTTCTAAAATCTCCATATTTCCGTTTCACTTTTAATGACCTCCACATAACAAACTCTAAAAGTGTAGCTGAGACTTCGGGGATGTAGCTAGGACAACACGCACGCACGCACACACGCACAGTGAAGTGTATTAGTGTAACTAAGAGCAACAAACATTTTGGCAAGAAGCTTTCATCACACAAAGTGGAACAAGAAGGAACAAGAGGGGGACACTTGTCAGAAGATTGTTGTATTGACATCTGGGCAAGGCAAAACGTTATGGGTGGATCTCGTGTAGGGTCACAGTGAGAGGTTCATGGTGTGGTTGTTGTGTGTGTGTGGGGGGGGGGGGGTAGATTGGGGGGGGGGGGGGGTGGAAGGAGAGAGAGGAAGAGACAGATAGATAAATAGATAGATAGATAGATAGATAGATAGATAGATAGAGAGAGAGAGAGAGAGAGAGAGAGAGAGAGAGAGAGAGAGAGAGAGAGAGAGAGAGAGAGAGAGAGAGAGAGAGAGAGACCGAGAGAGATACATGTGACAACTGTACACATCTATGTTTCACTCCTCTCCGGGGAATTGCGATATATATATATATATATATATTACATATATATAGGGACTAGAAAAATATAAAAGTGGCAATTAAATTTTAAAAGGTTCGACCGACAGCGAGTGCTGCTGTTGAGTATAACGAGTCGTAATTTCCAAGGAACGTGAACCAGGATATAGGGAAGCAGTGACTCTTCATAGTTCACAGCCTTTACTCTTTTCTTCTTCTTTCAAGAAATTTTTAAAAAATCACACATTAGATTTAAAATAGAAACTCAGACTTCACCGTATTCGCAAATGTGTGCATCATAAAATACGATTCACGCCATTATATTTACAAATAGGAAACTAGTTGGGTTTTTTTTTTCATCTCATACATTTGTTGAATATTTCTGCGCTTCATTCTTCAATCTTACCACTTTGACAGACAGGGAAATGATCAAAGATGGAAGAAAGGGACTGATTATCATTGCCCAGACAGTAGTAGCTTGGGTCTACGAGAAACCGACAAAAATTGGGGAAAATCATCATCTTCTATCATTATCAGTGAGAAACGACGACGCCACCACAAAGCTTTCAACTGTCCCGGAAACAGCGATCCCCACCTACCAGTCCCAAACTTCCACCTTGCTTCATTCCACACAACGAAACAACCGTGTAGAGACTGATCATTCATAGCCTTTGTTTTCAGTTTCTATTTGTCATTCCAGTAAGAGACCAGCATAAAACAATCCCCACCCCCCCTCCTCTCTCTTTCTGTCTCTCCAAAAATATTCCCCCCCCCTCCCCTCCACCCTAACAATTGCCCAATTCCCCTTTCCTTCAGTTCAAATACTTGCGTGTATTTCACTTCCTTTTCAATTCAGAGGACAATAATTTCAGATGAAAGACCAACAATTTAATGCGTCTCTATTGAGACCAAAAGGCAGATTTAGGAAAAAAGAGTTGCCAGCTCATTCCCTTAACCCTTCCAGCCCCAAGCGCGTATATTTTCAGCAGTGCTAGTACCTCCCACCGTCCCAAGAGCGTATATTCTCAGTTTAGGAGGGTACCGAATTTGCGTATTTTTCGAATTAGCAAACCTAATTAAACGTTAATTTTCATAATATTTGTTCATTTACTTTTAAAGATTGTTATATGTTATTATCTAAACCTCATTACAAAGATACTACATCACTTTTTAGAATGCATGCCTCTTTTTCTGAAATACTGCTGTATTGGCTGGGACTGGGGTTAGCGAGTGCACAAAAATGTCTGGGGCTGAAAGGGTTAAATGAGGAAAGAGCACAACGCACAACTCAACAGTGCAAAATGTCTTCCCTCTCTGCGTGCAAAAGCCAACACAGAATACACAGACATATGAGTGAGAACACATAAAGCTCTTCAACCCATTCACGATTATACATATACACAATCTCACACCTCTAAAACAATTTACAGCCAATCTATTCAGGGATAGAATTACAAAACAAACAACTCCATTGACCTTTCGGAGTTCACGTCAAACTAGAAAAATACAATGATGCACCGCAGAAGCTTTAAACAGTTGCTGTAAAATGACCTCCTTTTAAAAATACAATCCCAGTGTACCACTACACATTTTACACCTTATCCATAACATTTGAGAGTCTGCTTTCTTAGAAATTTTGGAACTGCAATATCCCCACCATTGCTACTGAAACAAGGTTTTGGAAGTGATTTTACAGCATCACAATTCGCTTTCTTTCAACAAGATAAGCGAATACATTGCCGCGCGGGGAAAAAAAATAAGGAAAACAAAGCAAAATAATTCCTGCATGCGTTTAAAGTGCAGACATGGACTTGGTGCAAAGTCTCTCACGCCACTCACGCCCTGACTATTTTTAATACTGCGCGTGTCTCATAAAAAATATTTAACACATAATAATATATTAAAAATAATTTTCAATGAGAAATCATAAACAATATTAGTAGAAGATATACATAATTATAAGACACTGTGAGATTCCTGCTCTACTGAGTTGAACAACAACAATGTTGTCCTTAGAGAACACTGTTGCTTGCTTTGCTTTCATTTTTGTAAGTTTTTTAGAAGTTAGAGGAACAAGCAATTATTCAGGTGCCTCACACCACACTCTCTATCGTTATAATATCAACACAGTCACAAGGATTCAACAGCTGATCTGATTCTAGCGAGACGCACACATACAAAGTCACACGGCCCATAATTTCTGAGAACAGACCAAGACAGATCCCTCCTCCTCCACTCACAGCAAACCCAAACAACAGACAACTCCACTGGAAGACAAGGATGGGCCAAGCCCCGATCAAAGCTCCATCACATCCAATAAAAACCACACAGAGGTTTGAAAAACCCCCAAAAAACCTGCTCGTAAAATGTTGAAGGAAAGTGACATGATGCAGCATCTGCAGCACTGCTACCAAAGGTCAGCTCTCGTGCTCACAGAAAACTCTACAGGAGTGATGCGTGCGAAAAACAGATCTGAAATCGACACCAGAAAGTGCTCACGCCTTGATGAACAACTGACAACTACCCGGGCAAATGGCAAAAATGTGCATGGCAGGACAAGAACTAGTTGTTAAGAGCACAAATTGCTCCATCTCTTGGGGGAAAAAACCCAGACTGCAATTCCATCACATGATACATTTTCTCCACAGACTTTCACCAAACGTTCACCCTCGTTCACACCACTCAAATCCAAGAGAGAAAATTTTGCTACAAGAAATAAAAAATAAATACAATTTGTATACAATAGCTTTAGTTTATACACAATTTAGGCCCACCATATCTTCCTCTGTTGTCGGTGCAGGCAGAAGATGTGCTTTCTTTAGTTACTGGTCAGTCATGGTTAAATACTGTTGAATATCACACGTGTATTAGAGTGTATATGATGATTCATAAATACACCTTAACCTATATGAATACACAGAGATAGAGAAATTTGATAGCAGAATATTTCATCTTATATTACACATACACACATAAATATCTCTATAGGTAGAATGTTGCATAATGATATCTGCACAGCAAGACAAACACTATACATGCAACTTTAAGCTTGACAGTAACACCAAGAGTAAAATTCACTATGAGAATGACCCTACAAGATATTTCAAGCTATATATATAAATCTAGTCTTCAAAGACTAATCAAATTGGCTATATAGGCATTTTCAAACAGCTTGACCAAAAGTTCAAGAAATTCCTAAGCGCTTTCTTCTCTCTACTCAATACTTAAAACGGCAAAATTAATCAAGATAAATCTTCTCTGACTAAGCATCCATTTTTCTTTCTTTTTTTGTTTTTTTTGTTTTTGGGAGACACCAAAATAGATCACTCTTTTGAAACAATTCTACAACTCAGAGACTCATTTACTGCTGCAGTCTGCTTTAGGTTGGTGAGAGTTTCACGATGCTCGCAGCAACATAGGTCATATGAGTGCCTGTGCTGCAGTCTACTGTGTCCAGATTTTTAGCTCCAAACTACAAAAGCAGCATAATATACAATTCTATAAATCAAGGCGAAAAATTACCCTTTCAGAGAAAATCAAAAACTTTTTCAGCCTTTTTCTTCTCTTATAAAGTATGTCAAAATAAGGCTCATTCAAGATCAGTGAGTGTCTATGACATTTCCCACAGACTGATTTCTTGTAACTCTATGGCACATTCGCATTTTTTTTTCTATGTGAACAAGCATCAAAGTTTTGAATTCTTTGCCCCTTGCAACAAAATGTAAGTTACTCAAGAGACAGAGCCAACTACATGTTCGTCTGTCTTTGACATAATTGGGCAGACAGCCTTAGAAACTTTACAAACAACGATAAGAAAAGAAAAGTCTAAGCAGGGATTTGAACCCTATCCATCCCCACAAGGGTACGAGTCTTATCGGTAGAGTAATGCTTGATTGATTATTGAGTACCAATGTTTTACACCCTCATCCACACAGCTTACACCATTGAGGAGGCAGGCTGCTTCGATTTTGCAGGTCAAAACCAACCCATGCTGTGCATGTAGGATACATCCAAGTGGACAGACAGAGATACTCAATCAAATACATTCTTCCCATAGGATTCAAACCCATGTCTTTTGCCTGAAAGACAAAGAGCTAAACCATGTAAAGTCTACAATTGTTGGTGGGGTAATGCTCAGCGCCCATTGGCAATATCGGTTCAGTTCAGTTCAGTTCAGTTCGGTTTGCTAGCCAGATTGAGGGTGCAAAGCGGCTATCGTGGCACATACCGATCGCCAGACTCGTCGCCTAAAAAACAAACGTGTTTGTTTTCACACGATGAGTCAGGCGATCGTGTGATGGCCGGTTTGCCAATCCCCCAATGGGCACTCCAAATAAAGTGTACTACTGTGTACAGAACACCCACCAGTAGATAAACCTGCATAAAAGCAAAGGCTCCTTAACCAAAGGCTTTGGGTTTGGTACATACTAGATTTGTGTCTCTCAACAAATTTTCAACTGCATCTCCACTTTACAAATATCATATTCTCTCTCCATACTTCCATAACAGAGAAGAAAAGCCGAAACGTATAAATGTGAAACACGTGCAACTTGTCTACCCGTGACACTTTCACCAAAAATCTTCTACAAAACCCCCCCTTTATGCTGGCACTTTACCCAGGACAGACTAAAAACAAATCGAAGTCTCTGAGAAAGCGACAGTGAAAGGTGAAAATTCTGCTCAAACAAACATATATGAAGAAATATCTACAATTTCTGCAATAATTACCTTTAAAATTCAGACAAATGGATTAAAATGTGACGAAAAAATTTCCCTTTCCTTTCTACAGAAACAAATGTGAAAACTCACCCATCAGGAGAGAACAGAAAGGAAAGAGCATAATAGAAGTTCAGCCATGACAGAGCTCTTTACATACACAGAGCTCAGTTAAAGGAGAGAGTTTAAAAACAACTATCTGCAGGTCATATTAATGACTAAACTAAAAAGAATACAAATTGAATCAGAAAAGCATTCTTCTTTTAAAAAAAAGCGTCTGCCCACATATTTTCCCTGAAACTAGGATGCCCCAGCTGTTGCACCGTGTATAACCACTGGCATTTCTGTCTGCAGGTTATGAGAGACTCCGTGACAGGACAGATGTTGCATCAGGAGAAATGTGCATGCCATTCTCACGTTGTATTTGCGGAAATAGAAATCGTGTGTACCTGCCAACAAGAGCTAAAGAGTCAGAAAAGAAGCTTTTTTCAGGTCCAAATAAAAAAGTGCAACAGGACAGATATTGTGTCTTTCAAATCTCAAGACATTGAACATTTGTAAACAAACAGATTTACCCTATGTAAATTTTCAGAAGCGTCATTTTATCACAATTTGCACACTCGTCATGCAGACAGCATAATAACTATACATACATTCAAGTCATATCAGGAAAGATTTCAAAAAGTGAAAATTACAACAATTTGTTGGGTTTTTTGGTCTGCTCTTCGCTCAAAGTCAAAGCTTAGATAAATGCTCCGATTTCTCTTTCCTTCATTTCATAAGCTTTCAGGAACTGGCAGCAGAAAAAAAGTTACACCAAAAAAAAGATTAATCCTCAATTATTGAAAGTTGTGTGAGACAGCAGTCACATTCATGAAGACTTTGATGGATGTGATGAGCTCAAACTCCAGTTTAAACAAAATTGTAATTTACTCTGAATCGTGTATGCTTGATCCAAAAATTAGCCAGCCCGTTAAGGAATTTTCACTTTTTGAACATCTCATGATAATGACAGATTGCAAAGTAGTCAGGAAGAGAAAAAAAGATCATGAACACCTCACATTTCCATCTCAGATGTACACACATTAACCAGCCCAACTGCAACAACCATAAAAAACAGCCTTCTGTACCATCAAACATTAAATGCAAGGTTAATGACAAAGTCAGTTATTTGCTGGTTGAGTTGGTATGAACTGTGTAATATTCAGGGCAAAATTGCAGATACTTTTAAAGCTCTTCGAAAGGAAAAGCTAACATATGAATCAAGCGGTGATCATTTCTACTGTTAGGTATCTTGCTTCAAAAGCAGTCCATAACAACGAGGTTATTTCAAGTGAACACCAGTCACAGCCAACAGTCTATTGGAGATAAAACTTTCAACTGGCTGTAAAAAAATGAAGGCGCTCAAATAAAAAAAAAGGATCTGGCTTTAAAAAAATAATCCAATATGGTCCACAAATGTACAAGGTTTGAAAACAAAGAATCATCTTTCTAGTTCTCAGAGTGGAGTACAACAGCCCAAAAAATAATGTTAAGTTAGAGTCTGAGTCTGAATAAAACCAGAACTTGACTAAAAAAAAATAATTTAAAAAGACTCCAACTTGAGTAATTGCCCAGTAACAAAACAGCCGAGTATCTCTACAGATCTTCATGAAAGAGCTGGGTGGCGAGAACGTCTCCCGTGACAATGGTCTGGCACCCTACAGAGGCACATTTCTTGCCGCTGCTCGAGTCGGTGCCATTCTTCATGATCTCCGAGACGGTGGGGACCCGCGGGTTGTCCAGAATGACGGAGCGGTTCATGTACTGCCGCTCCGCCACCATGGACACGCGCGGGGACATCTCGGCTTCGTCGTCGCTGAAATTGAGCTCGTCCACGTCTTTCATTCCTTCCAGCTCCACGTGGTGGAAGTTCCAGACGGGCACCACGCCCGCACCGCTGGGGGCCGCGTCCTGGAACGAGTACTTAATCCCGCCGATGTTGAGAGGTGTGGCATTGGAGAAAGTACTGTCGTCCAGGTCTGGGTAGATCTTCCTGATCTCGTCGTTCATGTTGCCCAGAGGAGTCTGCGGCTCCCTCGGGAACCCATCAATCGGCAAGTCCAGTTTCGCAGCCACCTTTTCTATCAGGTCTTCGATGGACTCATTCTCTTTCCAGACTTTTGTCGCCTTCCACCGAGCTCGGCTCCCTTTGGGTGCAGGGACTGCGTCAAAGAACACCCACTCACCCACTTTCAAGAGCTTATTCAAATCATCAATATTTTTCCCAAAAATGGTTCGATCGATAAACACGTGCTCGTGCATGCCAAGGTCAATGATACCCCAGAGCTTGGCAACGTGGAAGATCTGACCTTTGCGTCCGCTGACTGATGGCTTGGTTTGAACATGGGGTCTGCTTCCTGTTATGATGACATTCAGGCGGGTGTTCTTAATAACAGACACAATTTCATCTTCGCTGATTGTAAAAATATTGTCATGTGCCGAAATGAACTGATGGAGTTCGGGTTTGCTCCAGCCGATGGTGTTTCGAAGACTCTCTGGAGCTTGGCTGAAATGGCCAGACAAGCTGTTCACCTTCATGTCACCCTTCTTCTGAATGATGTTTTTGATGAACATCACAGCTTTGTACTCGTTGGCTGTCATAGTTACTGGTCCCGCTTTGGAGGCCACCGCAGAGATGGGGGCAGGAGCCACAGTCACCGTCCTCCCACCAGGGGGCGGCCTGTTCACCTCCGAGACGTCCTGGGACTTGGGTCGTCTTTTAATCTTTGGCGTGGTCGGAGGTAGAGCGGGAGGTTCAGAGGAAGAGTCGCTGTCAGCAGCGTTGCACCGAATGTTGTCCTTAAGGCACACGTTATCATCACGAACTTCGAAAATAAGCGGGTGCTTCAGTAAGAAACCCAGAAATTCGTTTTGAGGGCCTACACACTCTCTAATTTCTGGCAAGGCCTGCGACAGGTGCCCGGCCAGACTCTTCACCTGCATCCACTTGTCTCCTTTCTTCAGGATCTTGGCCCGGAAGAACTGGACGGCCTCCGTTTCCGTGGAGACGTCCGGAAGACAAGAATGTCCAGATGAAGAGGCCGGGCTCGACTCTCGAAAACTCCCCCCAAGGGCAGTACCGTCGTTCAGGCTGACGAGGTTACTGTTGACTGAAAACAAGGAGGGGTACTTCAAAAGAAACTTCTTGAGACCAGCCTCGTTGCCGCCGGCGCTTTGCCGCATCTCAGACGTGAAGTTGCGGCTCCCGAAGCGGCCGGCCAGCTGGCTGATGCTCATCGGAGCGTTGCTGTACATCAAAATTTCTAAAAAGTACAACATAGCTTTGTGTCCTGGGTCGTCCGCCATCTTTGATCCGTGCAGTGAGTGGAGTCTCAGTGTTCCCTCCTTTCTTAGAAGTTGTACGAAAGTTCCAGAGATGGTAGCACTGCCACTTTGGATTGATGGCAATGTGATGGATGATCAAAAATCATGGGCCCTACATTCAGCTACAAGAAGTTAACTTTTGATTATCGAAACCAAGGTTTCTTCCCCCTGAAAAAGAAAAGAAAAGAGAATGGTTGAAAATGGAGATAATTACAATTTTCAAATCTAAAAAGCTGACCGCAAGAGCACTCTTAAAATACTTAATTATAAATGAGCAAAAAATAATAATAATAACTGAGATAAAGTAAAAAAAAAAAAATTAAATAGAAAGTAAGCTGAAAACGAAATGAGTTCATTTTTAAAGCTGAGATGTCAAGTGGTCTGTCTGAGATAGAACTGAGCTTGTTTTAGAAAGCAATACAAACTCCCAGAAAGCAATACAAACTCCCAGAAAATTGTGTTTAAAAAAAAAATCAGAGTAAATAAAGTTTAGTTTGCACGAATTTTACAACACTTGCAACACAATAAGGTCATATAAGTGCAGAAGATTAGAGGTGTTACAAGAGACACAAAACAGGAGGAGAGAGAAGGACGACAGCATTTGCTAGGAAAGAAGGAGCAAACCACAACAGAGCACCCGCCGACAACCCACAAGTAAATAAAGCACCGGTGGGTTGCCGTAGCTTCCGATAAGACAGTGAGTGTATTATTAACCACTGAATCACACCACCCCCTATTTTTAGTAGTACCGTATCTGTGGGTACCTGTAAGCCTAGAGCTGAAGAGCCTGCCCATTTCTCAACCTCAATTTACATCAAATCTCATCATTGCTGAGGGATGATCTGGCTGGCTCTTTCCCTCCTTTTCTTTTCTTCACTCCCTTGATCCCTTTTGATCATTTTTTTTTCCGGTGTAAGTGCTTTATGGCGCTCGCCACTGCATAAGTCATAAAGGTCATATAATATTTGCGCACAAGACACATTTTGTTAAGTATTTTCAGTTTGTTGGGAACTAATTTTTAATTTTGCCCGGGTGGCGACTGAAGTCTACTAATCGAATTTGGACCACCAAGGGATCTTTAGTAGGCGCAACTTGCACACGGGACCTCCAAGATATTTCGCCATTCTCCGAGAAGGCTAGGTGTTAGATCTTACCTACCCTAAGAAGGAGCCAAAGAGTAGCAGTAGAAAGGCTGTAAAAAGAGTCAGGAGCCCAGAGGAGGAGGCAGGGCAGAAATTAAAGACAAAAGCAGATGGCAGAACACGGTTAGGGAGCAGGAACAGAGGCGAAAGGAGAACATTTTAGAGAAGAAAATTTTCCGTTGCTCTCAGGTTTCAGGTTTTAAACTCAGGACCTATTGAAAGAGAGGCAAACACCTTTTGATCTGATCTAGAGTCATCTTGGAAGAAAAAAAAATCTTGCAGAATTTACAATTCAGTAGGCCTATTTTTTTTTAATGGTCAGTCTAGCCATCATATTTAGAATAAGTATGGCTAGCCTCTTCCTAAAACAATTCACATGATCATTCATTATACTGTCATTATTACTTACAGCGAAAACAACTCAGGTATTGTCACTTATGACGGTGTTGGTTGCTAAGTAGGCCTACCCAACTCTGTATTGGAAAAGGTATTTTCACTGTTTGACAAAAAATAATTTTTAAAGTTCAGTCTTTTTATTTCAGTAACAAACTTATACAAATTTGGAAGCTATTCTTACTGGTTCCAGATCAAATTTATAGGAAAAAAAAGTCTCACATTTTTGTATGGACAAACTTATGATTATAAATTGAAGCACAGAAGATCTAGTAGCAACAGAATTATTCAAATTACAAAGTTTGTCAACCAGAAAGTGAAAGTTAAAGAGAAGTGCAGATCTGATAAAACTAGGGCAGAAATCTAAAACTTTATTTTTATAATTTATACTTTTTTAAAAGCAAATCACATGAGAGCCTTCATAATGGAAAAAAACCAACCCCATCTGGTTCTTCTTTTAAAAGGACTAATAGGGTAAACAATTAATATATTTTTTTTAAAATCATGTCTTAAAAAGAATGAGAGCTGGCCTCTGCACTGCAAGGTACCTTTCAGTTTATAAATTTCCACGACCACGGAATAAAACAAACGAAGTGACAATTTCTCTGAACGTTCGGGAAAGTAAATTTGAACTCTATTTCTCCAAACTGTTTCCGTTCTCGAGATTTTTTGGTTATTTGCGAGATTTAAGCGTCATCTTTCATTCTGCGAGGACAGAAAGGACGCATTTTTTGTATCGTATTCAATTTTTAGAGCTAGAGATTTTTAAATGTTTGAATATTCAGATACTTCAGTTGTGGTAGGGGCAACGTTCCTGGACTATACTTCATTTTGAAAATGTCTTCAAAAGGTACTGCGAGAAAACAAGACTGATCAACCTTGGAAGTAACCTATTTTGCATTTAGTCACCCAGCAAAAATGTAACCTAAAAAGAATCCCTAAACACGCCCCCC